TATTAATTACGTTTTCATTAAAAGTGATACTGTCATTTATCTCAAACATGAGGCAACAATGTGTGTCAACAAATGGACAAAACAAAAAAATGGAGGGATGAGCATTCATACAAGCAAAATAGCAATAGCGGGATCACTAGGGATGTCAAAGGAAAGTAAATGCTTAGATGAACTGTTTTAAACTGTATTACTTGTTAATTTATATATTAAAATGTACTTAATTGGATAGCTGCTTTCGTATTAAATTGTTTTCTATTACATTTTTAAAGTATTGATGTTATTAGCAATAGCAGTTAAAGCTTAGCTCTCTTTCATGCTTATCTTTATTCTTAACCATCTTTCATACAAACTGCATTATAACATTTAAAAAAAAAAGAAAAAAAGAAAATCTTACTTTTTTCTGAAGTCATATCAACCTGGAAGAGAAAAAAGGGGGAAATTTAAAAGTTAGAATATAATCAATACATGTAAAGTCACTAGCGAAGTAGCACAGGTTGAGTCAAATCCACTAGATGTATGGAGACACACAGATTCACTGACTTAAATGGAACCAAGAATGTGTTTAAAATAACGGTAAAAGCATGGCTTAATTTATTTAGTGTTTCTAATAACAGAAAAATGGTTACTTTGCTATAGTTATGGTCAATAGTAGATGCAAAATGTTGCAATGTATTTTCTTTAAATGCGACCAGCAGTATAGAGGACCCAGACCTTTGTATTACTGAGTATGTTGTTGCATTGTTCTTCATTTATTTCTTCCCGTCTAAAGCAAAAAAGTCCAATATGGTCACCTGAAGGCCTATGTCCCATCTGCAGGGCAACTAGTATGCTTTACACATAGTTTCATTGTACACCTTCATTCTGAGATCACGGTTTGCATTTTTGCCTCTGTACTTTGTGACGGTGAAAAGCAGGTGCAGAAATGAGTGCAGACTTGCTGCTGCCTACGGCAAGAACTAGGACCTGATGCCGCTAACAGCTATTGATACCTCTAAATGGAAGCAGTGATGGCCCTCAGAGGCCATCTTTTGGATTTTTCAGAGTGTATTTGGGTAGAGATTGAAAAAGCCATGTAATTTTACTGTTACTCAAAAGAAAACACAGCCCTTGCCAAAAACCATTAAAAAAAAAAAGCAATGTCAGACTATGAAAATTCAAGAAGCAAATTTTTGAAGTTGCCTTGTAGTTTGACTTTTTTTCAGTTCTGCTAGCACAATCATTTGTCCACATGAGCAAGAACAGACTTTTGTTGTGTAAATTTGGATATGTAAAAGTATGCAAAGTTAGAAGTAGCACTAAACATCTAATTTCCTATACAAACTTGTGGTGGGAGGATGACTGTGAGGAATGAAAATCAGCTGTGCAGTACTGTTGATACAATATACTGTGTATGTTAAAGCCCCCAAGATAGTTCTTTAGTGAGTGTTGAAAAGGTTTTACTTGTTTAAAAGTATTCTTTATAAAGATAAATGCAATATATTGTCTCAGTTAAGATGTTACTGAGTCTTGCTTTTTCACAAACTGAAAATGAATACAAGTAAATCACTGGCAACACTTTCATGTTCACACGTGCCTTGCAATCATTTAGGCTCACATTATTAAACTTCACACTTAGCAGTGTGTTTTACAGATCCATAATAGTATGAATTCCTCTGATGCACAGATTGCCCTACATGGTAACCTAAGATCCCTAGGACACTTTAATTCCCCTTACTTTAAGTTCCTCCAGATCAGCCTGGAATTATGACAGCATAATAATCAGTATTATTTTAGCCATCAATGAGCTTGTCTTTTTGTGCTTTAGTTTCTCATGTAAAAATAGAAGAAGTCATCAACGTGTGGAAAAATAATTTTCCAATAGCCTTTACACTGCTTTTATAAAGCATAGATTTGTTAAAAACAACTTTTGGGGACTTCACTGGGAATGCATAAACAGCATCACAGAGGCTAAAAGAATTAGTTTCGTGCTTTTGGTACAAAACTGAATGATCACCTGATAAGAAACGTTACCTTCTGAATGAATATAGTGGGAATTAGCTTAAAAACTTTGGCCATGTTTTCACTTGACAGCGCCTATATTTCAGCACTGAAATAGGAGTGGTAAATATTTCTGTAATGATAGTAGGAAACTGCAATCCGTGCAACAAAACTTCTGAAGTCCGTTTTGCAGTTCATGGAAAAGATGTCCATCGTCTTTGGGGAGCAGGCTGTTCTCACAGTGCTGGCACTCTTTACTTGTTTCCAACAGCTGGACATTATCAAAATGTGGGGTTGCTTTTCTAATGTTACTCATTCATGTTGGGGTCAGACCTTAAGAAACATCTATAACGGCCAGAACGGGGCTGAGAACGTAGCGGGGAGTTGGCCACATGTCTCCATCAAGATGCAATTCAGTTTACGCTAAAGATGAAAACTCCACACCTTTCACTTGGGGTAAACTTACTTGTAACTTCTGGGTTAACACTGATTCTGTACTGGACTTCAGTAATCCAACTCAGAAATCTGTAAGATCCAGTCTATTGGACGTTATAAACGGACAAGATTTGTGAATTGCAGCCCTTTCAGGTATACAGGTAGTGCGTTCAATTGCAATCTGGTCGCAGACTCTCCCCAACAGCGGGGAACTCGCTGATGGAGGTAACCGTTGTATTTAGGTCTGTTCCTCTGCCTCCGTTCCCCCCAACCCACCACCACTAACTACAGGAAGCATATTAAGACTGTGCTTAGGGGTATTAGTAAAAAGTATACTATGCCAATGATCCACTGGTTCTGAATCCTTTAGACAAGTCTAGTAGCAACCCTATGTTATTTTTAGCATGCGGGATGGTTCTCAGAATCAGAAAAAACAATCCCATTTCCCCTTTTTTGTGCTGCAGAGAATAAAGCTTAAAGCAATACACTTGTATGGCTTATTCTTGAGCAAAATAGTTTTTAAATTATTACGGAATGATAGCAAAATGAACTATTATACACCTCCAAAATCAGTGCATCTGAATCAGTAAAACTTTAATTTTAATGTAGGGGAAGTTAAACTCAGTAAATTCCAAAAGTGAGCCTGTGCAAGATCCTTGTAAGTGCAGTCCTCTTCATTGTTTTTGTAGCACTGAGCTAATGATTGATATGCCTGTTTCACTACAGATTTAATCTTCCAAGCTATATCTTAGTTGTATTAGTATATCTGTTAGTAGTATGCATAAGCAATAACGTGCTGTTATAGCAACATTACCTCTTCTTCTTGTTCTTGATCTGATTCTGATTCCTTTCAGTTCCAAAATGCCATGCAAAAAGAGAAGGGAAAAACAGAGCAGGCAAAATGCACATTTTTTAGAAGAAAACAGTAGGAAAAAATAACTTCTGACAACGTTTAACAGAAAAGAAGAAAAGGCAGTAAGTTTCTGCAATTGATTTCTCATGTGAAAAAGCATCAAAAATCTAAACTGTCAGTTTAAAACACAAAAAGCTATAGAACCAAGCAAATTACAAACAGAAAAGTTGCTTCTGGGTGTTAGACTTCTAGTGATCCTTATTTGTACCAAAAATTAAAATATATACATGCTTTTGCACCCATAAATTAGCACAAGTAAATACTTAAAATAGTTAAGAACGTTACGTATTTAAAATTAAAGTATGTTGAGATGTGGTATTTTTAAATTGTACAAAAATGCTATAAAAAAAGATTATATTGTATGCTAAAAATGCTGAGAAAAAATGAACACCAACAGGCAAGATTTTGGGCAAACAGCCCAAAACATTCCTAAAAGGCATGCAGCTCTGACAGAGACAGTAAAAAATCCAAGTTATCACAGAATAGCAATAAACTGACTCTTTCTAAGAAAACAAATGCTTCTTAATATCTGATCTCACTTAAACAGAAATCAAGGGCACTCCCATGATTTATGAGAATTCAACTGGTCTCAATCTTGTTATTTATAAATACTAACTCATACTAGAGTTTTCCTCTCCTTTTCCTGCCCTTGATATCGGACCATTTTCTTCCCCAGGCACATTAATAACTTAAGTTATAACAATAATCTGAAGAAAGACCATTTACACGATGTGACGTACTCATAGATTCTTGAAAGATTTGATCAGACGTAGGAAGAAAAGTCAGTGTCAAAAGTCAATGTAATATTAACATCTAGTCTAAGAAAATATTTTTGACGCTGCTATAAACTTTCCAAACTCTAGAGCTCAAGTCTGCTACATTTTTATCACCATCACCACAGATAAACAAGGCAGTTAGCTAAAAATGCTACTGCAAAGCCCATTAACTTTCAAATTGGCAAATGAAAAAAAATGACAAATAGTTTTCAGTCCTTCTGTAATTCTTACCTTAAGAACATCATATGATCTACAGACATTATCCTTACACTTTGTGAAACAGGTATGAACGGTAACTTCACTTCCAGAGAGGTGTCACAAGACACGGTTAGACAGTGTGGGAAGTCTTTGGTAAAACAAAAAAAAATAACCTAGAGGTACTCACTGAGTCCCAGATCTGTCTCACCCCTGAACAGAATCTGGGTAAAACTTCTGTGGGAAATAAGATTAGCATAGGTCTTGTGCAACACCAAACAAAACCATGGGAGCTATGTAGTGCAAACTGGATTTTCACCTCCCTTCTGTCATCTCTTCTGAGTCCTCAGAAAATATTCGGTGACATCTTTGAACACTGGCATTAAGAGTAGCAAACCCAAGAAACTGAAAGCCCTTGGGTGGTATTTATTCTTCTTCAAAATACCTGACTACAAAGCTTTAACAATATTTTGCCCTCCTACTCATTTCTTGCTTATATTATAATGCTGATGACTGTAGATCGGTGTAATTTCACAGTACCTTTGTGTAAATGGGTAAAGTGATGTTTAAATTACATATGGCTTGATGAACGAGGCCTCTTGTAGATTTTGGCTCCTTCATGAATGATAATCGTCCACAGGGTTCTTGAGTGGTATCTCGCACCTGGTAGAGCAAACATACAGACATTTAATCTGTTATTTTGCTGTTTTGCTGTATGATCTACTTGTGCCACTCAAAACCATGTAGCAGAAAGAGGCTAGATGTGGGAGAAAAAGTCCACGTAGGCAAAAATAATGTGTTGTCTTTCTTTTTTCCTACTTGTTTGTAAATGTACGTATGGATGTATTTGTGTGTCAAAGCAAGAGAAGACACAAGCTTGCACATTAGAAACTTGTTTACAGAAGGCAGTCCTAACGCTGCAATCACAGTCTTAAAAGAGCAGAGACGTTCCAGTATGATTGGGCTTCTGTGATAACTTACAATACCCATTTTTCACTGAAACGGTCCCCAAACTTTACGGTCGTTACAGAGACTCATTTTGTATTAGGTGACAAAAGGAACTAAGTCGTTTTCCCCCATATGGCAAGAATACATATTTATGCTGATGTTAGCGATAACTCTTTGCTCATCATTTTAGTATTAAATATTGTGTTTGTTCGTTTGGCTACTCTTTTGGCCGAGTGCCTGAAAACAGTGAAAGATTACACTTAAAATTTCTTCTCTTGCAAAATCTTTTCTCAAATGTATTGATAAATCCTAGTCTTAGAATTAAGAAATTTGCTGGAATATATTTATAGGTGCAACCATTATTATCTACAAAAGATACTACATCATGCCATACTTTAAGATTTTGCAGTGAAACTTAGAAAAATCTCTTTCACAGTTGTTAGCAGAAACAACTGTTCTAAGTGTAAGCACTTAGAACTTAAGATACTGGTGGTGTAGTTTTTAGCTTTTGTACATAATGTCAGGAGGATTACGTACGATATCGCAGACGAAATACAACGGAAGGCATTACCTCATTCTTAGTTTTCTGAACTGATAAAATGACACAATTAGATACATGTGTATTAACTTTATCAGATTGAAAATACAAGATGTGAAGACACGCACGTTTTTGAACGTATTTTGAAATATCCATCATGGAGAAAAATATGCCGAGCCAAAGGCAGGTGGTGGCATAGATAAAGTTCTGAATTAAAACAAGCTTACAAAATACTGCTGGAAAGGAGGGAGAGAGTTTAAAAGTTGTCTAGCAGCATGCAGCAAATTTAACACAATGAGGGAGTGGCTTGATTTTCTCCACTTTTTGGATGTTTCCATTCATAAAGCATTTCTCTACAACTGCTTTATGTAATGGTAATAGTGTACTCCGTTGTAGTCGGGATGTCCCAGTAGAAGGAAAAGTTTGTGGGAAGAGGTTTGCAGTGCCCTCTGAATCTCTCTCTCCAGAAGAGAAGGTGATGGAGGCTGGGTGCCAGCAGCCCTCTCTGCTGCTAGCACAGACCACAGTGAGAGCGCTTTTTTACACGACTTACTGCTCCCTGCAGATCTCGTGAACGACACAGATGAGCCCCGTGGGCCATGGCGTTTATGTCACTGGCTCTGTAGCTAAAGTATTAGTTAATTTTGGATGAACGGAGTCTTTGTTTTGGCTTTTGTTTTACACTCCTACTCATGTAAAAGTTTTTAAAATAGAATAGCACAGTAAAATACACTACGGGGATAAAATTAGGTTACAGTTGGGAATTTATCAAAATTAATTACTTCCTTTTTCCTTTGTTCTCAAAAATATGGTAAAATCATAACTTGAAATATCCAAAAAGGAGCCATGCTTTTCTTTTGGTGGTTGAAGAACAGTTATATCTGTATTTACCATATGCATAAGGAAGTTTTGTACTGCTACTGAAGGGAGGATGATTGGTTGAAGAACAGTTATATCTGTATTTACAGCCATATGCATATTTACAAGTGTAGGGTACAATGATCATATTTTGATAGATTTCTGCCAATTCTACAATGTTTTCTGACACTTTTTTGCAGTTCCCGCATTTTTTCCTGCAATATATTGAACCATGATACAGAAAAACAAACAAGATCAAACTTGATCAGCTCTTTAGATTATTAAATAGAGAACAGGATTCCTAGAAGTACCATTCTGGTGTCTGAAAGAATGCTGTGGACACATGCATATATAGCAGAACACAGGCACAGATAATTACATTTAGAGAAAAAATTTACTAAATTTTAGGTAGCCACTGCTGGTTGTTTTGACTACCCAAGTCAACATTTAATCCATTATCATAAAATAATTTGGAACTGTTCAGTCTGCTAAGTTTATTGTATACTCAGAAGTAGGCAAAAAATAAAAATACAATCCATAGCTCATATTACAACATTACCTTAACAAACAGAGGAAGTCTATTCTCTTTGAAGGCAAAAAAACTGAATATATGATGTTGCCCACTCTTTGTTAGTGGCACCAAATTGCCAAAGCAGTCAACATAGATGGGTTTTCCTTCCAATACCTATTGGAAATGAAAAAGAAGCAAAGCAGCAATTAATCACAGTGAGGTGGTTAGGATGTCTTCCTAAGCATAATTCTACGGTAGTTTCGATCAATTTCTTAAATTGCTAGGGCTTGTCAGCATTTACAAGATTTGCTATGCACAGTTAACTAAAATCTGTGGAAACATTTCACATTATTAAATTCCAAATGGGACAAATTGTTAATTCAGTAACAATAGCATGACGCTATAAATGACAAAATGAGTATTCAGTGTCATGAATCTGGGCAAATTCTCAATCTATATTTTAATTTGGATTTTTTATTGGCTCTAATTTTAGCATACTTTGCTAACCTGGCCTCACCATAACAGTCAAAGAAATATTTTCTTCAGCAATCAAATCAAAAGTCCTTGTTTTGACTGGTACGATAATAAGCCAGTCTGGGAATATCATGAAGTTGCAGAGGACCTTTTTGCCAATGCAAAAACTTTCTAAATTAGATTAACTATGTGTTAGTTAACACAGTCTGTTGCAGCAGGCAAAGACAGTGTATATCAGTAGATTCTATTTATTTCAGCTGGATTTGTAAAAGCTTTTGAAAGTCAGGCCTCAAGTAAATGCCTCTCTGAAGTGCCTATATAATGATACTGCCTACGTCTTTGGATTGCTATTGTTATGGCCCCTCCACACGTTTAAATCTCAGCTTACCAGTTTTGGAGATGTTCCCTTCAAACTGCCAATACATTAACGTCTCATCCTTACTTTCCAGAAATTCAGCCTTGTCATTCAGTTTTATAAGCCCATATTTTATCTAGCTGCTCTGCACAAGAAATGCCTGTCAGAGCTTCAGAAACAGCGAGGACAAATTTCTTAAAGGTGGGATTCTCATGGAAAAGAGACCATACTAAGCAGAAGAATATGCCATGCATGTAGTTAAAGAACTTTCAATTTGTCATCCCTTCTGAGGAAGCTGACAGAGCCAGAAAAAACTGCATTTAGCAGGCAGTTTGCTGGATTCCACATAGGAAAGCTTTTGCCTGTTCAGCAACAGATTTAATTTTTTTTTTGTAAAGCAGAATATTAACCAAACCTGCTAGTTTAACTTCTCGGTATGCAAAGAAGCTGACAAAACGTGACTGCTGTTGACTGCCTTTTTGGTTGGTGATATTCATTCACAGAGTTACTGGCAGTTGAGATTTACCTGTCCTTTTTGGCTTTGACTATCTCCCCTTTTCTCGCAATACCCACTTAGCATCAAGCTCAGGAATGTAACAGTTCAGTAGAGAACACCACCCTCAAAACTCATCTTTACCCAGACATTCCTCTAAGAGGAAGTTAGTAACTAAAAAATTCAAGGTGTCTCCTGGCAGTTTGCTACAGAGCTAGTTAAAACTAAGTAATCGCTGTGGACCACCACAGAAATGGCTATGAGGTACTTGGATTGAACTTAGGGCTAAGCCTGCATCCATAGAACTTAGTTTTAGGCTAACTGAGGAAAAAGTCCATTTACAACACCTATCTGCTACCTCTCAGCTCGCTGTTGAGTGACTTAAGTCTTTAGCCTTGCTGTGCACCTGAAACCCCAGCCAAGCTATGCAAAATTATTACAAACTATTGCATTTTGTTTAATAAAAGCCATGGGCAATGCCTCCTGCTTGCGTAACTAGCCATCTCAAATAGATTTCATAATACGTAGTTGGCAGTAGCTGCTCTAGTTCTGAATCTGAATTAAAAAAATGCTGAACCTGACACCAGAGAAAAGGAAGGACAAAGAACCTGAAACTGAGGGACTAAATGGTAACCCCCAACATCATTTTATTACCTGATTTCCTAGCATAAAATCAGTCCAGTTTCTAAGTACAGCTGTTTAACAGGTCCACCATAAAAAAGCATCTTGGGAAACCAAATTCTTTCAATTCAGTTTTGTCCTATAGGTTTTCTAAGCCTTAGTCCCATAACAGAGAGCTCAGACTCAGCCAGCCCACTCTCTCCTTGAACCCAGCTTAAGGTTCCTGCTACCTATTTCTTTAATTGCCGAGGACTGCCCTGAGAACACACTGGATGCCCCATTTGAATGCCGATAATGCTACGGAGAAAGCAAAAAACAGTATTACCAAAGTCAGACAGGGAATTCCTTTCTAACTTCTGATAACCAGCTGATTGGATTTCCTTGCGGGTGAAACACACAATTACCTTCCACCTTGGTAGACTGACCCAGGAAGACCCAAATGCAGTCAGCTGAATACAGCTAACCTTGCCACCAGCCCTGTGGACTAAGAGATTGGCAATTGCCAATTGGGAATAGGATTTCATCACTTGTATCTGGCAGCTACTTTTCCCTTACATCTGACAAAAGTCAAAGTTTCCATCTTATCATGATGCATGATATTGCACTATGTCAGTATTTGTTGGCACTATTATTTTTCAGTACTTGTGGCAGACAGAAGGCAGAAAATATCGGCTTAAAAACAGACATTAGAAAATGGAGAAAACTGTTTAAGATTCTTGTGCAGTACCTCTACATCCCTGCTTCTGGCAACTTCAGCAAAATTTTCTTGTTGTTCCAGAGTTTTATCCACCTTGTCATCTGTCATGCAAAAACATCGTAACCGTGCTTCAATGGGATCATGTGATTTGGCAAACACCACAAATTTGGCCATGTAGGGGACACAGATAATCTCTCTGTACACTTGGGAAGCAAAAGTAACAGATTCTTGTGTCTGTCGACAGTCTATCAACCAAAATCTGTAAAAGAAAAGGAAGGGTTGTGTCATCAGCACAGAAAGATTTAAGCAAGAAAATGATGTATTTTCCCGTTTTGGCAGCATTAGCTGGTAACCACACCAATTGTACATGACAAGTCAGAATAAAGTAAAAAGAATAGTTACCATTTGGGAAGAATAGCCTAAGAATGATCATGGTGCCCCCTATGCATTAGGGAGCATGAAGCAAAATCAACAGGGAAAGCATTTGGACCAGAACTTACTCTCCTAACTACCAGATGCATAGAGTCTCCTGCTGCACAAATTCCAGGCCATGGTTTGCCTTTCTGAGAAGATCTCACTCAGCTGGAAGCTTATTTGCTTCCAGGTGCATGACTGGCTTTTAAAGGCTTTAAGAAGTTCACTTGTCCTGTGGCAGACAGGCTCATAAACCTTCTCCGAAGATTTAAATATATGAACCTTTTCATATTTTTGTGTTTATGAAAGATACATATTACATTTATAAGCATGTTTATAATATTTAAACAATTATTGATGGCTTACCAAAATCAAGAAATTCTGGAAAGTCATCACAGTATCCAATAAATGCTTTTTCTTCTATTCAAAAGTTGGCTATGGCCTAAACTTTGTTTTCATCTGAATTGATTCCTTATAGTGAGAGTATGTGATCAAATGTTTCCTGCCTTTTACCAAGAAATATATCTCTTCGACAATAAACTCAGTGGTCTCTGTTTTCCATCACATTAAACAGTTTCTGATGACGTCTGAAATAGCGATTGATCTTATCACTATTCTTCTAGAGCTGCCCAAAAGGTCTCTGAATTTGTTCTTGTTTGTCACATGTCATTATTTGATTTCTGTGCAGAATGTAAGTAGAGAAGGGTGTACTAGAAGTGTACAGTTCAGATTTTCCCCTAACTGACTCTGCAATATGTGCATTTGATCTAGAGAACAGAGATATGATCCATTTCATCTAGAGAAATACAGGTTCTTTTTGACAGCTGGTTGCTGCTAAACATCTGATGATGCGGAAGAGAGTAATGTCCCATAAAAATCTTACTAAAATTGCTTGTATCTAGTCATATGCCAAGCCTGTCATTTCTCTTCCAGGTTATGACTAAATTGTTAAACTACAGAGTGGGCAATTTCATCCTTTTCTCTTTAGCCCCCTGAAATCTTCCCAGGCATTGTACAATTTCCTGTTTGTTAAGTGCTGGACACATCAGTATGCCACCCTCGGGTGTTAGTGAACTGCGTACAAACTTCTGACGCGACAGGGATGCTGTGAAAGTTTCCTGAATTTTACTGATGAGAACAGGAGACTGAAAGGGCTTTTGGCATGTGTTGCTAATCCTTCGGTCTGTTCTTGGACCTCCGTCTCTAACAGGTGAAATATAAAGCTGCCTTGCCCCAAACGCTTGTTTTTCTTCTACCATGTAGCTTAAAGGTTAGCAGTACATTCCTTACATACAATGTCAAAAACTGAGGGTCTTTAGGTGAATGTAAGTGATTTTGTCCACTGTGTAACATTGCGCACAAAATCAGAAATTATTCTTATGCGAATTTAGTGAGGGACTTATAACTTTGATTTTGTGGTGAGTTTTTGTTATGCATATCAAAGACCAGTGATATAGATATTTCTGTATCTGAGCCATATTGTATTTTGAAGACCCTGCAAGCAGATGTGTCCGCATCTGATTCCTACTGCCCTTGCCTCGCAGAGGCTGTGGTCACCACTGACTGACTTTTCATCGTGGTTTCTAACATGCCGTTTTACTGACAGCATCTTTCTAATGTATACACCGAATCTTCTACACCAGTGGTTCCCAGTCTGTGACACACGTGCCGCAAGTCAAACATAAACATGTTCAAAGCAACAGGCAAGTACTACTGGAATAAATTACTTCCTCTGCACGGTGCGAAGCCAGGAGCTGCCACTGCTATCTCATTCAGCTACCACCACGACAGAGAAATCTTTAAGATTACAGGGTAAGGTTGTAAGTTGTCTGATTTCACTAACATAATTATTACAAATGAACGTCTGCCTCTTATGAAGTACTGCTAGTGCATGTGAATTGGAACAAACCACCTCAAAACTTATCAAACATACACGGTTACTTAAGACATACCACGGATATTGCAACTCAGGTCTAGAACTTCAGCTTCCAGAAGGGGTCCTCTTGTGTCAAAAATGACCCTCCTCTTTACTGAAAACCACAGGTTCTTCACCCTTTCTTTGGGCCATTCAGGCCGAGACAACATTGCCCAGTAATAAAAATTAACAGAATTTCCTTATACCTTTGTCAAGGCAATTGAATTGTTATTTCGCAAAGATAACAGCCTTCACTTAAAATAATTTTACTTCTACTCCCAAAATGCAACAGCAGAAACGCACCAAGCATTTTACAAGGAGTAACACGTATTGCCTTCTTTCTCAGATACCACTTCATTTAGCTTCTCTGTGGAGCTAATGACATTTCTTTTAAATAAAATTCACTGTGTGGGTGGAAAGCATGCTCGAGTTTGACACCCATAGGACGGAGACGGAAGTCATGAGAGGTCAAAGACACCTCAAAAGCTGATATAATCTACAGGGGACTTATTACTTACTGTAGATTACATGGTATTATAGCCCACAAAGCATACCTTTCAAGTGTGGTTTCTCTGGTCTTACTCATCTGCAGTTGAATAATAGCGAATTTCATGCTGTGCTTATCTTTAGAACATTTAACAAACACACTGGTTAAAAAACAGGCTGATGACATTTGAAAGAGAGAAAGCATGTTTGGTACATAAAGGCTCTGAATGCTGATACCTTCCCTTTTCATGTGTGGGAGAATTATGCTATGCCGGACTCAAACTGGAAAGGCTATATCCTCTGAGAAATCACCATATGCTCAAATGATTTGCTGTCACACACCAGGGGCTAAGAAGCCCAAACAGACACTAGATTTTTAAAAAAGCTGCAGCTCAGGAAATGGAAAACAGCTATGCCTCAAAGTCTGCAGTTTAATTCGCATGTATTTTAGACAAATGTCTCTCTTTCCCAAGCTCATTGTGGACAGAATTAGTCTTATGAATGGGAAAATTGCTCTCCACCATTAATGATTTAACTATACATAAACAAGTCACCGTCACTAGCAAACAGTCAGGCATCAGCTAATTCTCAGCAGATGCACTTTTAGACCAGGGCACAAGTGAAGAAATTCAAGTCAGCTTGTCCTTCAGCAAAGAAGGTAATTAATTCTCTGACTGTAAATACATGAAAAATCCCATTTTCTAACTTTAACAGCATTTAAAATTATGTTTGGGTTAAAGTAGTCTGTTGAACATTCACTTAGATTAAAAAGAAGAGGTAGAACCCATTAAAATCTCCACATGGGATCCTGCCTATAACACAGAACATTATCAATAGAAATCAATTTTAATGTCATCATCAGGATTAGGAAACATCCACTACTAATACGGACTGTAGTTCCATAAACTGTCACCCTCATTCTGGCTGTATTTCATGTGTAGCCCTGCTGGGGACTTGACAATCTTAGGGACTTTGACCTCTCAAACTTTGCATCTGGTCTCCACATCTAGTTCTTAAATTAATTTTTAATTTATCCCTTTAAACAGAACACTTGCAGGTAGCAGATGAGAGCTAAAACACACTTTAAGATCTCCCTCTTGTGGTCACTGCTGTTAAAGAAAAATGTTCAGCTGAACGGAAAAGAAATGTACATAGGCAAAGCATCCAACGTGATGGGAAGAAAGCCATTTCTGAACTGAGAAAGTATAGAAAAATAATACTTTATTTTACCTAATGCTGAAGTTATACTGTAGACTGGACTGCAAAAGCTGAACTCATTTATCATTGAATAAATTACTTCATTAAATAGCAAACCTAATCTAATAGTAATAACTGCTCTGGATGCTGAATGTTTGCACTGAAGGAAATTCATTGATTTTCATGGGCAACTTATCCAAGATTTTTGTAACTGTTTGCTAGACTACACACCCTAAATTTAACACTTTCCAGGTCACGGACTGCATCTCCTGTTACAGAGAAGGAGATTTTTGAGCATTTCTGTGATATAAATCATAGAGAGTATACAAACTAAAATACATACATAAATATATGTATATCATATTAAATATGAAATTCTGTTTTCAGAAAGACAGCAGTTGAGTCTCATCACAAGAACAGATGGTTGGAAGAGATTCTTCTAGATCACAGTTTGGTACACCTACAGGCCTTTCTGCTTGATTTCTCATTTGTTGGATATTCTGGAAGTAACATCTTTTACAAGATGTATAATGAGCTACCCAAATAAGGGATTTCTGTTTCCATGGAAGCTTGCTTAATTCTGCATCTGGGAGAGAAGGGGTATTGAAAATGAAACCAGATTTTTTTCTAACTACCTGAAAATTGAACTGTCCCTCAGATTACTATTTCAGAAAAATGAGTATGTCATTAATTCATTTCTGGGATCGTAGCAGGTGCTGACTGCAAAGGACTAACGGCTGAGATAAAAATGACAAGAACATCCATTTCTTTCCACAGCTAGTAAGGAGTGTAGTGCTTACAGCTCTTGTACGTCATCTGTCTGGGCTAGGAGGCTCAGGGCCTCCAAAATACCTGGCCAATTGGTTCACATATGTTCCTTCTACTATATAAACTAAAATAGTTTAAAGGAAGTATTTGTTGAAAAAATGACAAGCACTTGAAAATAACACTGTAAAACTCATGCTTTGTTGTAGACGTACCTGGCAGACACATTTGTTGTGAAGGAAACACATTCATTAACAAATGTCAGCGGTGTTGTTCCAGTGATGTCTTCCCATTGGGCAGGGGTGGTTCCTCCTGAAATGATAGAGAGAGATTTAAAAAAAAAAAATTAAAATGAAGTAAGTCTGCAACTTTCTTGCTTCTAAGAAATATTTTACATTCTTCTGAGTTTTTAATCACTATGAAACCAGTAATAATCCCAGCCATGCCATCTCCTTAGGTCCACGTTATTCCACTAACGCTGGTAGGATTGTATGGGTTTCCCCTGAGAAAACAAAGTGCCCAAATGATTTTCAAAAGATGAGTCCTGTAGTACAGCTCCAGAAATGTTAGAAGAGGCTAGAATTTTGGGGGGAGAGATGTAATTTATTAGAAATTACTTTTGTTCCTTCTAGACTATTCACATATGCGGGGCAAAACTGGCCCAGATATAGTGCAGTTAAACCTATATTGTTACACTTGGGAAACAATAATAATGTTATCAATAGTGACAGCTACAATTTATGATTTCTATAATCTACTTTTTCAAATAATTCAAAGACTCAGGTCCAGTATGTACATAACTAAGAAATTGCTTTTGCACCTTGCTATGAAAACCTATGAAATAATCTCTGTCTGACAAGCTCCCTGGAAGGTCTTGCAGTTGAAATGAGCACCTCCATATCGTGCTGTACAATAGAGAGCCTTCTGGATTCCTATGAGTCTATTAAGTGTTTCAGCTCTCTTTGTCACGGACGTTGCCAGCTTCCTATTTGGCCCATGCAGCTGAAAATGTGGGCACAATCTCTCACCCTGCAGCTGCGTTTTCAAGTTCTTCAATATATGTCCCTGCCTCACCTTTTGGCGAAGAACATCCAGTTGGTTTTCCTTAAAATCACACTGAGCTTCCAGAGGACAGAAATAGAAGCGTTTATTTCTAGCAGCAGTTATGAATATTTATAAAACACGTATGAAGAACTAAAGGAAAAACTATGTATAACCAGGGCTAAGTCAGAATGCGTGTCTGTCCCTCCTCTCGTATACAGCTGACTTGTTAGATATCCATTTGACCATGTAGCACAGTCTTTATGCAAACCTTAAAACGAGCTGCATCTGTAAAGGAATACTAGTTTTCAGGAAACACCTCCTTTCTCCTTTTGGTGAAGCATTCTTGGAACCAGTTTCCCTTTTGAAGTTTTCTGGAGGATCCCTGCAGATTTACTGTCCCTCCAGGAAACTTATTCAAATTCCTCTTTATAAAGGAGACCATTCTTCTCTATTTAAATAAACATTGTTTCACTCTCTTGGAAATGCAAATACTTCTTTGTTGACCAGATGTTGTTTCTGGTATTTCAGCAGCTACCTAATACCTTTATATCAAGAAATTGTAAAAGCACCTGTTCTCCGGAATGACTCACTGGCACATCTCAGTGTGTAATGCATCTTACATTGGGTTGGTATTTGAAATCAGTTTGAAAATTAACAGAATAAATGCATGCAGCTCATTTCTGCCTCTTAACTGAGCCTGAATGAGTCGCTAATCACTTTGGAGTTATAGCAAGTATAAAGCATTTAACTCCAATATTTTCCTCTGAAGCATACTGCAACGTTATGTCTGTACTACACTTATTCTGCTAGGCAGAGGTATGTTGGTTCTCAAGAAACAAACTGTAGGGAAAATGCAAAAAAACCCAAACCCAAAGTCTATGATTATATTACACATCTCTTGCTAATCCAAACACCAAATGTTATTTCTGCTATAAAGTAATTGTTTGGAAAGTAGTTTATTTTCACAGCCTCTCATCCCAGTCAGGTTTTCACCAAGCTTTCCATGCATATAATCAGTTTAACATATTCAGCCCACGATGACTGACAATTTCAAGATGCACATAAAAAACTCTATTATTTGCATCCTACCTGTTATGCTGCATAGTAACCTTAAAGTGGGTGTGTCGCCTCCATAACCATTCATGATCCCATCACTGGAGGCCTTGGGGACGGGAATCGTCATCGTGATGGGTTTATGGAACTTCCTTCTCCTGGGCTCCAGTGTGACTATAGGACTGAAGGTAGCCTTGTTGCCTAAAATCTTCTTTATAAGTTCAGTATGCATAGGTTGAGCCTTTCCAAAGCAAGACGACAACAGAATAGTTACTTGAAAACAGTTTAATCGGTATGTAAAGAACTGGGTCTGTATATTGCCACGAAATCTGTAAGGTTTTTACACTAAATGGCACAATTTCCCATTAAAATCTGCAGACGTAAGAACTGACTGCTAGCGAGAAGGGGAGACCTCCCTTTTTGAACGTTCCCATGCCTTCCTCCTCTTCCTATCCCCTTTCTTGGTGCTTGTCAGACCTTTTACAGCATTAATTTAATTCACTTAACCAGTAGCAAATGATTCCCTTGTCACCCTTCTGTCTTTTTTCTTAGGACGAGCTCTGAGCTATTCTAGTAAGCTATTCAGCTATTCACAGGGGATTTCAACAAGCACGGTCTCCTGGCCAAGGCAAGTTGTGGATGCATGCAGCAGGAGGAGGGCATGGAGGTAGGCGAAAGGCTTCCCCCTCTTTCAGTAGTGAACTGTTAGGCTGGTTTACTTCACACTGAGAATCTCTACATTTGACTTAGTTATTACAGCACTTTGTACTTCTCTGATGCCTTTCATAAGAAGTATTTAAGAAATTTTTCTATGACCTACACTAATATCATCATCATCATCACCAAGATCATATAGACAGTTAACAGACAGGAATCTAAATTAACTGGAATACCCAAAGCTTTACTGCTTGCTTTGACTTTTGCATGGATTTTTTTTTTTAACGTTATTTTTACTAGAAGAATTCTAGACAGCAACGTACAACATGGTAAGCTGAATATGCTGGTTCTCCATTCAAAGAAGGTGATTTTACACTAAAGAAAAAAAAAAAAGATAAGCCTAGTAATTGTTTCATTGTACCTGGAGGCCAACGCGAATTCGTTTGGTCAGAGCCCCCTCTGGGAAGACTGCCTGCACTTGTGGTACAACAGTGCTGCTCAGCACACCTCCCTCAGGTCCGATAAGGTTGCTGTCCTGTTTGATCCGGGATACCACTGCAAAGTACTGAGGGAAATCTCGGGTGATGATGCGGCAGATACGTTTCTTCTCAAGCTCCTCTGGAGTGTCAAGTACTGAGGCCAAAAGAGAAGATGGTCAGAAGACAAGAAATTCATAGAAACAATACAGCGAACTTCAAAATGCATTCAAGCTTTTCACAGTTTAACTGCAACTTACAGAAGTATTTTGTCTGGAAATGAAAGGGGAAAAGGAAACATACCCCAGTATTTTAAGTTCAGCTAAAACAGAGAAATCATGAAAGGAATAGACAGACAGACTGGACAACTAACTGAAGGGAGCTTAAGACAGCAAACTCAGAACGTGTTGACAGCATCCCCAAAATCAGCGGGCAAACAAGCAAAGGGATTGGTCCAAGCCCCTTTCTACTTCACATGTTTACACTATGGCCTGGAGTAGTGTCAAGGAAACTAAACTTCAAATCAAAAAAGTATCAAAGTATGAGTTCAGCTTTAAGTATGTGAGTTGGCTCGTTTACTTTTGGGTTTTGTTTTGTTTTTTTTTTTAAAAGCCATCGAAATTAATAACAAATTCTGCAGATCCTAGACACCCCAAGGCCATTCTGTTCTCTCAGAAAGCAAAAGTACCCATGACTGACATTTCCTCCCACACACGTAGCTGCTTGGAAAGGATTAGTATGATAATTGCCTTGTTTTGGAAAGATGTTTGCTATGGAAGCTTTTCGTTTAACGCTATGAAAAGGAGCAGTAGAAAACATAAGTCTGGCATCTATTCTCAACTTCGTGATGGTAGATTTTGTTTTGTCCCACTACTGCAGCAGACCATGCAAGGGAAGTAAGCACAAGTACACAGTGCTTCTGCTGGCTCCTGTACTGAGAACATGATTATGCTCCAGTGTGACCGAAAGGAAATATCTGGAGAATGTAGTGTCAGAAATTCTAGGGCGGACCAAACATGGGGTGCTAAATAGAATAAATGCTAAAAAGCTATTACCCCCAGTTACAGAAGTAATGCAGGAGCAGAAGAGAAAAAAAAAAGTCACACTGGATACCTTCATCCATTCCATTCAAGATTTCATTCAGTTCATCCTCAGTGTATTCACAGAAATGCTCCTTCCAGCTGTCCCCGTTCTCACTGCGCAGGATCACCAGCTCTCTCTCTTTCCCACGCAGAGCAGCAAAATGGGGAATCTCCACAATCACAGGCCTGGCACAGCAACACAGCGCATTAAATGCACACGGGAGAGAGGAAGAAACAGGATTAACAGCAACTCTACTCAGTCTGCTACAAAGTGACCTGGAATTCTACCTATTTCACTGGAATACTTCGGCATAATCCTAAACTACTAGGTCACTAACATATTAGATTTTTACAGGGACCCAGTAAATGCTGAAGGATAGATTAGAAAGTGCATTCACCTCTTTCCACAGTGTGAATGGTATTTGGTAAGATAATAGAGCTTAGCTAGAAATTTGGTAATTGTTTTGCAAATTCATAAAAAACTCACGCTCATTTTACTTGTCACTACTGTCTGGGTTAACCTGTGCAACTTCATTTCAAAGAGAATCTACTGTAACGTATATGAATAGTGGGACAAATTCTGATCTCACTTATACTAGTGCAAATCAGAATAATTTCATTGCAATCGGTGGGCGATTGTGTCCTGTGCCAATTTTACTTCATTGTAATTCTATATATACCAATGAATTTATTCCTGATTTACACTCTGGGAGAGATACAGGAGGTCTGAGGAAATCATCTGGGTTTCTATTTCAGTACAGGAGATAAGAATTTGCCTTGTTGCCTTACAAGCATATGTCAATATATGTATCGGTGTATGCGTCCATATATATACACACACACACATATACAACACATATGTGTACATATAATACATCTATGTTTATATATACATATACATAATCTTAGAAATAAGAGAGAAAATACAAATATATTTGTATATACACTTCTCTAATTAGAGGACTCACACAGGTTACCATGTACATAGTAAATGTCACGTGTTCTGTTATACTGGTGGTATCCAACATATAACTTATTGATTAATCAGTCATTGATACAAAAAAACATCTTTAAGTTTACAGTAGATTCCTTTTTTTTTGTCCCAGTCCAGGTTGCTTTGCTACAGACATCAAGCACATAACTAGGAAGATTTCATGCCAAAACAAAAATGAAGGCCACAGTACTTCAAGAAAAAGATACAACAAACATACCACCAAAACAAAACCACATACCACAAGGGTTGAAGAATGGTCCACTAAGGGTTAGGTATACAAAATTTCAAATGATAGAAAGGGACAATATCATGGGCATAATGACATAAAAAAATCATATTGCAGAAGGAGGAGAAGAATGGGGAGGTCAGCATCCATCAATTTGTTTCAAGTCTCTCCTACCCAAGGAATTTGGTCCCAGGAGGCCCCAGCTGAAGGATTCGGCTGACCAAGCTTTCTCCCTCATTAAGTGGGGGAGGAGCCGTAGGCAGATGAAGTTTACTGAGTACATCCAAAGCAGCAGTGAAAGAAAGAACATAAATAAACTTTATGTATTTTTTGTGCCAGAACGCCAGTGCCACTGTCTGGTCCACAGAGTGGAATTAGGCTTTACACTGAATAAGGTTCCGTCTTAGCGATGACAATTTGGTGATCAAAATCAGCAAAATTAGTTTTGTTAATTTAGGATCTTTTCTTGCTTAGGGAAGACAATGGGAGTTTTGGCAGTGAACTCAACGGGAACAGGATTTGGACCTTAGAATGCACCTCTGCAAAGAGTACAGTAATTTTCTGATTTCACTGCCAGGACAACACCTAGAAAAACGCTTGCAGGAAGGGCACAAAGATCTGTGAATGAATAAAACTTTGCTATATCCTGTGCTTTCAGGTGAGACATTCTCCTTAGATAGAGAAACCATTAAAAAGAAAACGGGAGACATACTTAAGGTCAATTTGTGTGTGACAAAGATAATGGGAAGACTGAATGTGACAGCACAATATTTCTTCTGCTCTTCAGATTTCTTCCCGCTTCTCTTTAAAAGTGACCAAGATGTGAAAAGAGCAAGTGGTACAAAGCATCTGATTAGCCAGCTTGTTTGCTGTTACTTGTGATATTAAGAGGTATCCCCTCTGTCAAAAGGAATGGTTGGCTTGCATCACATTCACAGTGTTTCAGAACTGCTCTTGCTTCTTTACCAGATTAGAGCAACAGTGAAGTAGCCGAAACATGTCCTGGGTATGTTCTCCTTTCACACTCCATATAAAAGCAGTGGGCAGTTAAAAGCTACCAATCAACTTTTTTCTCTCCCTAAGCTCAATCTTTTAGAAAAAGCACTAACGAAGATAGTGGCTCTGATGACTGCCTGTTATAATAGGATTTTAAAGCAACTGATTTGTTTGGAAATGGATTTAAACTATTGCTGTTTACAGAGTCACTTTTTTTACAATTTCTGAATGAAGCTATTTATTGTAATAGAAGGGGTTCCTTCAATCATCCACTTTTGGATGCCACAGTTGATAGGGAGAACAGTTGGTAAAACAAATAAAAAAAAAGTGTGGATAACTGCTGCTTTCAGCTGAAAATTGCTAAAACGAGCTCAGCAGCAGACACAAATCTGATCTTTCTATGGGTTTTGCAGCATAGGACAAAAGAAATGGCCCAAAAATTCTAGGGTTGTCCTATTGCTTAATTTAGCAATTTCAACCCCAGAAAAATCAAAGGCACTGTGCTTCCCGGATAGTCCAAATTACTGATAACACAACACAAGTCTCTAAAATAAGCAGCTGTAACTTGTGTTGTATATGTAGCAGGCTTTACATTTGGGCTTTAGATCAGTGCTGTGCTATTCATGCCTTAGATTAGCTTATTTAAATAGAGTATGAACTGCCTTTTCTGGCTGCAAAGGGGACTTTTCCCACTATAATACCACAACACTGAGTAATAATTATATCCAAGGAAGCACATTAACCTTAGCGCTAGTGGTTAAAATATCCATTTTCAAAGGAAAAGGCGTAAAAGCGTTTTGAATTGTTAACTAACAACTGATCTGTATTTCGCACGACCAGTCTGTTACCGTATGTTACAAACATCTTTTTCTGTTCAAGTCTTGAAAAAGGAACCATTTCAGTGCAACTTGTAAACAGATGAAAATAGACTGACCATTTTCCTTTAGGCCATATGGCACCCCTTACCCAAGAAACTGAGCACCAGAAGGTCCAACTTCAATCAGGCGGCTGGCCAGACCTTCACCTTCCACCATGGGAGGCATGGTGGCCAGTCTGTGGCGTTTCACCAACCGGCAAGTCACTCGTGTTGGAGCAGTGCATTTCCGCGGAGGAATAATGATTCGTAGTCCGTTATGTCTGCAACCTCTCATGGCACCCCCACGAGCATCCACCATGAAACTAACTAGGAAGCTGAAAAATCAGGAAAAAAAAAATTAGATACAAAACATAACGAAACTTCTTTGGTTATGTTCCACATACGTAACAAACTACGTATGTAAATGTAGATCTTTCTCAAGATGTACAATTAGAAAAAGCCTTTCTCCCATGTGAAGCACCAAATCATGCTAAGATCATTTATTAATTAAACTGACAACTGCTATCTAAGAGCTCTTCACAGAAAGTCTTATTTTACAGTGCTGCTGTTGGTAAAAATACCAGCAGTCACTAATAAATGTGAGCACGTGTGCACGTACCTATCAAAGTCAAGTGCAAATATCACTACCCTGCACCTGCAAGCACCTATATTGTAAAGTTGGCACTCTTCAAATACTTAATGGGCAAATACATCTTATCGAAGAAAATTATTTACAACTCAAGAATATAAAGCCAATTCTGATTGGAGGGGTTGTCGGGAGGTTTTTAGGTTCTCTATATAATTTTCTAGTTATTCGATAAACTATAATTTCTAACAAAAAATGGGTTTGGATTTAAAAAATACCAAATTTCATGCTGGAGTGTGTGAATACAATTCGTAATACCTCAGTGGAGCTAGCACCTATCTATATAAAAAACCCAACGTGTCATTATTGTTTGAAGGCAAATTTTGGATTTTGGTGAGATGGCAATAGCTACAGTCACCGTATAAGAGGTTTCTTTATGGATTTTTGTTTTTCTCTGTTACTTTGCAGAGCAATACAATACCCCAGTGGAAAACTTAGAGATGCAGAAAGCCATCTACAGGGAGCCCTCTTCTAGCACAAGGTAAATTATCTTATTTACTTCTTTTTCTTTAAAAGGGAGAAAAACATTTCATGGAATTTCTTTTATGCTGAACTTTTTATAGTTCCATATATAACCAACGGGTAGATTTTGACAGATTTGTTACAAAGACTGGGGACATTCTTGGGAAAGGTGTAGAACTACTTCAACTTTTTTTACTGGTTTATGACTTAGGATCATGCCTGATGTGGGATGGGAATGTCAGGTTGCTGGAAGTGAAAATAAGAGTAGATGAGACAGAACGGTATCAGGCCTACTTCTAGCCACTAAAATAGAATCGTCACATGGGGAGTCGCAGAAATGCTACTGAAGGACCTGCAATAGAGAAAAGCCCTTAAAACGTGAGTAACAAATACAGGTATTTTTCCACTGTCCCCTTGACCGTTCTGTGCGACAAACATTGCATCCACTCATTGTCCACACGGCTACAAGTAATTCCACATGCTGTAAAAACACAACACTCAACACACCGTGCAAGTCGGAAAAATGGATGATGGAAAGGAGCCACAAGCGCCAGTCAGAAGCACACCATGCACCACGGATGCCAGTCTTTCTCACACATGCAGTCTCCTATTCTACTGCCATTCATATACCTCTAGGTTTTGTTTAGTGTAAAAGTCTGGGTAGTACAACCATTATCTCATTCCTTAGAGGTTGGTGTTTCTGTGGTTTTAACAAGGGGGAAAAAAAGAAAATGAAAACATTTTACAGCTTTGATTCCCTGGGGATTAATTTAGAAAAATGGGAGCTTCCTTCATAAAATACATACTTCACACATTTTAAAGCACAGGTGAAAGAAGAGCTTAAGAGATACTAAATGCTCAATTGTTGCAATAATGCTCTACGGCTTGCATTGTACTTTTCCCTTAACTGTATGAAGTAGTGTTATCAAAGTGGTTCTGAATTATGTTTCGGAGAATCGGTCCAAGTCTCTACTATAATGGGTGCGTTCGAGGTAGTTAATAACACTGAGAGCTGGAAGAAGAGTTTCACATTTTGATGCTAATGCTATGAGCAACAGAAATACTACCCCCACAATTACCAGAAGCTAATGAGTGCACTTACTGAGTTGAATTAGCATCCACATTTTTCATTGTGTAAGCTGTCATGAATACAATTTTTAGGATTCAATTACTTTCATTATTGATGTAATACTCGAGATCGTATACTTTAACAACAGGATCACCTTCTTTCGCTGTCCATCACTGACATATTAGTGCTAGGTCACCTGTCTGTCTTATGTCCTCCTTAGCTTATCTCCCCACGTGTCTCAGCAATGCCAAAAACACTGTTAACTGCTAGAAGAATACATACACACAAAAGGCAAGGGTCCAAACCCAATAATCTCCCTTCTGACCACAGTAATGGGTTCTGTTGCTTCTAATACGGTGCTCTTTCTCCATATAGTAATTCCTTTCAGACTAACTAAAAGATAAGCAGAGTGCTGAAATAGCAGTGCCTTCTCATAAAGCACACGTCACACAATTAAGATAACTGGCTTGTGGTGTAGAACCAACATAAAAGCTGAAGAAGTAGTCGTCTTCGATTTTGACCATCTGTAACAAACTGGTATCTCACCTCACACACAGAGTCACAGCCCTGTGTTCCTTCCCACACCCGCAAAACTGGGGATCCAATACAGATCAGCTGAAAATGGAGTGTGGCATTTGCCTCTAGTAAGCACTCGAGATGCAAAGGGATAGCCGTGTGCGTTCAGGCCTTAAAGCGGCAACTCTTTCTTTCAGTTTAAGTTTACTGAATGTGCCTGGTGGGTCAGAGCAGGGTCTGTCAGTGAAGCTATCACAAGATCTATCGCTGAAACCAGCTACTGCTCCAAAGAGTGGAAAACCAGGCAAAAGATGAGTATCATTGGAAGGTGGACACAAAGATAACAATGGTTAGGATAAAACCGTAGGACATTATTATTATTCACCATAAAAACAGCTGTTTCTATCATAAAGAAGATCTAATGTATTTACTAAATGACGAGACACAATCTGGCAAACAGGAGTGTTCATCACAGTACGCACCAAAACATAGATTTGTGCCGTATCACTGAAACAGACCCCCAGATGAAATGGGAGATTCCTGAAGGGTTCTGTGCCTTCTGGATGAGTCTGAAACCACCTAAGAGACTGCAGGTACCCTTCAACTGCCGGACAGCAAATTCAGGCAAACATGGAGTAATATGAGGAGGGCACAGAAAGATTAGTGCCAATTATCATACCAAATATGGAGGAGCCGGTTCACAAAACCAGCTATATACTACCATGAAATTTCCAGAAAACAAATTTTGGAGAACTAGCATGAATATAGTGCGAAAGAAAGAAACTGAAGGGGAAGATTCCTCAGCTCCAGAGCTGCGGCATAAAAGTCTGAAAGGCTGGTACACCGATGCAGGATTTGTAGAGCTGACGCAGAATGTAAAAATAAGGTTTTTTTCACCATACCACCCTGTTTATTTCCCAACCTGTTGCCACATTCATTTTTTCATCCACTTATTTAATCCAATTTCTTTTCATCTCTCTTTTTTTTAAATTGGCACATTTCACATAATTTTGGATATGCAATAAAGTCAAGCAAATAATTTGTAGCAAAGCATTTTCTGAATCACAGCAGCCTCTTTTTCTGCCTATTTGCTACATAATAGGGCATCTGGATGGTGACATTACTGTTCCAGGACTGGAAAAGCTTTGCCCTTTCGAAGGACTGTGTATATCAGTATACAAATAATTCATACAAAACTAACGCATGACATAAAACCTGCTTTCTGAAATGTGCATTTAGGAAAGTGAAAAAATTGTATGACTAATAGAAAGGAAATGTAAAATGCAAATTAATTATTTTGCTGCCCACGCGCACACACACTATTTTTCCTCTCCCTAATGCTTCTTTTACCAGATGTTGTTAAGTGACGAGATTGAGATAGGAAGAGATTGTACTCAAGCGAACAAACAAAACTAGCAGGAGTAACTGGCAGATTAAGCCATCAGTCTGGGAAGTGGTACCTTTTCATTATAAATTCCCAAGGTCAAAAAGAAAATAATACATAATACTAGCAGATTAATAACCCTAACATCATATATACTCATAGAATCAGAGAATGGTTTGGGTTGGAAGGGACCTCTAAAGCTCATCTAGTCCAACCCCCCTGCTGTGGGCAGGGACATCTTCAACTAGATCAGGTTGCTCAGAGCCCCGTCCAGCCTGACCTGGAATGTTTCCAGGGATGGGGCATCCACCACCTCTCTGGGCAACCCGTGCCAGTGCTTCACCACCCTCAGCGTAAAACATTTCTTCCTTATATCTAGTCTGAATCTCCCCCCCTTTAGTTTAAAGCCATTCCCCCTTGGCCTGTCGCAACAGGCCCTGCTAAAAAGGCCCTGCTACTCCCTGAAGCTTAGGTGCGGGGCTGCTTCTCTTATTGCATGCAGAGAGACAGTGCTTTGCTTTACCATCCCTTAGAGGTACCCGTTCATCTTTGCATCGGTCTTCCCTGCTCTGACTTAAAACTTTGTAAGCTCCTCCTTCTGCAAAGGGCACCGGGCACCCTCCGCTCACGCTAACTGGACGGTGCAAGAAGTGACTTTTGGCTAAGCAGGAAACTCAGAGCTTACTCCACGTTCCACTTGCAGAAAGCACTACTGCAAGCACTACCAACCATCTACGTACAGAGAATGAAGAGGAGAGGGCTCATTAAAGAGAAACACAAATGGCTGTGAGGAGTTCAAGAGGGAAAAAGAAAAAAAAAGAAAGGAAAAAAAAGGTTAATAAAAGGGATTACAGGGCATCAGAAAGCTCTTACAGGTATCACTGGAAGAGGAGAAGAAAGGAGGCATCCTAAAAAAATTAGGCTGATAAACGTTTCTTACGTGCTTCTATGATAATTTATTGTAATATTAAAAATTAAAGAAAATGTAAAAGAAACCAAAATAACTTACAGGAACTCCACGTAGATATAATAGCTACAATTTTCAGAAGGGGATAAAAATGGCATAACAGGGGAAGGAAAACCTTAGCAGGGACTAACTATGGTTAGGAGAAATGAGGTAAAACTGAGGAGAGGGAAAACAATATAAATAGGAGAAAACTTCTGGACAGCTGCTAAGTAGGAAAACATTCTTGTGAGCCATTTAAAACAAAGGTGGCCAAAATAAGTGAACCGATTGATCAAGCAACGCACCAAAATCACATGTACTTTCCGTCAGCAAAAGTCTGTTTCAGAACATGTTTTAAATGTCCTTCCTATAATAACTATATGTAGGGGAAGCATCCTTCTTTAGCACTGACTTCAGTTTATCTTGGCAACCCATGGCAAGAACTTAAATTTCAATTAAGTGATGATTCAAAATCAAAGCAGATTATGGGTTAAAGCAGGGAAGTCAAGTTTTGTATGTCAAGGGTGACTAGGGCAACAATGAGACGATCTCTCTCATTACTAAGACAGCCTTTGAGTAAGTTTCGTTTTCTGCCACTTTTAAAGGTTCAGTTAGAAATGATGCATGACACAAACGTGTGACCCTGACAGTCTTGCAAACTGGATCGATACTGAGCTTTCTTAGATTTAGCAAGGTGGTAGCCCAATATAATAGCCAAATCAATGAAACAAATCAGGTTTTGGGAAATCATTGCATTCTCTCTTTTAAAAAGAATGAAGGGAAAATGAGGATTTTTTTTTTTTTTTAAAGAAAAAATAAGGAACAAAAGCAATTATTTTCTAGGAATAAGTTATAGACTGCAGGGGAGTCTATACACGCTTCTGTTAAACACATGGTTAGCACTTAGATCAAGCATCATTCATTCTCCTCTAATTTAGCAATACTTACTCATAAATTAGAGAGGCCATTTCATTCTCTTTAATTTTAGAGCAATTTAAAACTACATACTTGCCATATGAAAGGTAACTAACAAATAATCAAATAACATTGGCTACAGCATCCTTCTGGTTAAGGACATACATAAAAGGCCCCTAAATCCTTCAGGCTGTTTCCATGCCTCCTACAGAGAGCAGAGCAAACAGCAATGGGTTTTCCAATGGCTCTACTTGAACAAAACACAGACAACATATATGCATTGGATTTATCCACCTTACAAGGACAAAAAGTTATGGTGTATTTTCATGAAATACTTGTATTTCAGATCTGAGCCTGTTATTCCCTTTGCTGATTTTATTCATATGGAATTAAGTGGGGTTTATTCTCTATCTATGCTCATTTGAAAGATAATAGCAGGATGAACAAATGAAATAAAAACTGGATGTGTCAAACGCTGGGGGGTGAAAGAAGATACTTATTGTGTGATTTGTGACGAATCGCTGTTACGTAAATAGCTTTGCAGAAGAGTCACAGTTTCAGGTGGCTGCGAACGCAAGCATGTTGGCACTCAAACGCGCTTCTCATTCTGCAGAATCATTTGAAGAGCCATGCAAACCTAGCATCGTGAAGTGTCTTTCTAGAACAGGCAATAGTTCTTTGAACACACAAAACCAGAATAGGCAAAATCAATACACCACCACCACCACTTTCATACGGTCAGTTCAGGTACGATTATTCTTCCGAAGTAGCTAGGCAGGCACACATGCTCTCATCAGGTAGCAGGAAACAATAAAAAGCTCTAACTAGAGCACATCCATTGTCGACACATTTAGGAACTTTTCTGCGTACATTATCTTAATTTTTAAAAGAAACTGGGAAACAAGGACATAGCAGCATTCAGTGTTAGTCGCAGTGTGAAGAAGCAGCAACAAACAATCAGGGTGCTTCAGCCACTGTAAAGTGTTCAGCCGGAGAAGGAAAACTGATAGACAGTCTGAAATTAAGAAAAAAGGTCTTGATCCAGCTCCCGCTGAAGTCAACAGCAAGTCATTCAACTACCTCAGTGTGCTTTCCATCAGGCTGCAACTATGCCATACATAAACAAGGCAAAATACACATTCCAGGAGGACAAAAAACATGATCCTACACGGGAAACTACTGGAGTATTAACTCATGGTGACATTCTCTTCGCTGCATTAGTCAACTACAGAAAGATTGAGTGACATGACCCAAAAATACGGGTTTGTAGTTTGGGTTTTTATTTAGCCGTTTAATAATTTTGCACAGCTGAATATTTAAGAAGATCTTCACCTTTCTACGGTTATGTTAAAGGAGATGAAGAGGTATTGTGCCAATAAACACTCAAGTTTGCCAAGTGAAGATAATCTCCTTTGGGAAGGTACCGCTCCAGGTGTTCTGTGCAGGATGCAACGTGCCAGTGATTCAACCACTGATTAACCGAGGTCACACAAAAAATGCACGTGGCATGAAAAATTAAATATACTGGGTCTGTGCTGTTATTCTACTAGTTCCAATATGGTGGCACAATTCGGAAAGTATGGCTCTGCAATATTCTTTATATAGACAAGTGAGATAAAAGGCCCACTTTGTAATATAACAGTTGAAACTAAACCTATCTACAGAGGTTTGTGTTGGATTATTGGGGGGGGGGGGGGTGGGGCAGTTCCTTCCTTTTAATAATATTAAACCACACCACCAACAGAGAAAATGTATTGTTGATTAAATCAATGGTTAAAACAATCTAGGAATGTATAAGGAGCTTTGTTAAGATTTTTTGCAGTGGACTTATGTGTCCAGTATTCTTTTCTTGTAGAGGACATAGCAGATGGGAGAAAGTGGACGCTTACTGTGTAAGAAGAGAAATAGGGCCATGTGTAACTATTACTCCTAGTCAGAGTAGATTTTTTTTTTCTCTTGGCTAACGTGCACTATCAAAACACTAAAGCATCCTGAAGTGAGGTAAGAGAGGAGGATAAATAGGGTGGGTGAGAAATGCAATGTATCAAAGAAAGAAATTATGCGGAAGTTCACCTGCTGTTGTCATGATCAAGACATGGAGAAGAGCATCTGCGATAGAGTAGATGATTTAACATCAAAAAGGAAAAGAAAGGGGAAAAAAAAGAATGAGTTAAATGAAATACTGAAATATTGGAAAAATGAAACAGATTTCTAAATTAAACACATGAACATATACATATTTATGCATATTCATTACATGTGAGAAGGTAGGAGTGAGTATGGAAAACAAGCCTACATAAACATCCGTGGTTACAAATGGTTACTACTACTACAGCAGTAAAGCTAGAGTGATCTGGTTTCTCTACATACATTCTCAAACTGGAAGTCAGATACCCAAAATGTACAGTTAGATTCTGAGTAAATCTTTCAGAACCAGATGAGGGGAAATGCTGCTTGGCTTAGGTACCCACACCTAAAATTTGGACCACGGTATATCAAAGGGTAAGGTATCTAAGGTAATTCCAGCCACTGTTTCTGATAACACAATAAATCACGATTTTGTTTTCTTCAAATTTCCTGTCAATACATTCCGTCCTCCGCTTTCTTCCATTTCAACACGTTTCTTGTCCTCCTTTTGTTCTGCACTACAGAGTGACAAATTTCAAACTTTCAGTTTGACCCGTTTAGGCTCTTAGTAATGTGTCACATGGCCAGTTAGTTTTCTGATGTCGCTTTTTGTTTTTTTTATATATATATATATTTCTTTTTTTTTTTTTTATATATATATATATTTTCATTGCCATTTTCTTCCACTGACATGAACAGCAATTTGCTATTAATGAAACACACCTGCTGTTCTTCCTTATTGTAACTGGCTGAATAAAGGTCATAAAGGCTACAGTATAATTTGAAATAATTTAGACTTTCAGATTTTAGAAATGACTATCAGCTGGTCACTGCCAGGTCCTTTTTCCGTAACTATTTCCAGGAAATTAATCTCACATTGGGGAAAACAGTATTATGGATTCAGAATACAACACTTGAAATATATTTTGTTTACCTTGTTAGCAAGGATCCAGTCTCCTTTTTTGCAGACATGCAGCTAAGAATGATAATTCACATTATTTGTCACAGTTCGAGCTGCCCACTCCCTCATCCTTCTCCCTTTTTCATTGGTGGAAGCAACAACCTCCAGAAAGGTAAATTCACTAATAACATCCCAACTGTTTAATTTTGTCAGATACAAGTACTGATACACTCGGATCATCTATTAGTCAAACAGGGACTTCATCAAATTATATAAAAGAAATCAGTATCTTTCATTAAACAGGAGTTTTACTGTGAGCAAGTCAGAGTTGGAAAAACTGCAGAGCTGCTACGTATCTTGCTCTAGAACACAAAAGCAAGTTAGTATCAAAGCATGAACTCGAAGCTCCTTCCTCACAGTGCCATGTTCCTGGCAATATGTCAGATTTGCCTCTCTTCTTATCTACCATACCTTTACATATTTGTCAGTAGAATTCTTAGAAATAGAATCTATACAACTAAATTGTGGAAATTTTTGTCACTGTTTCAGCAGAACCCAGGTATGAAAACAACATAATTTTGCACATAATTTATACTTTAAAATCTTACAGTCAGCCTTATCTTTACCATTCACACTTTACTGTGGGTGATAGAGACATAAGAATATGATACTGTCAAGCAATGTCTAAATGCTGCAAGTGAAAAGAAATCTTTCAGTTCAGTGGTTTTTTGCCTTCCAACTTAATGAAAATATATGTGTTCTCCCACAATAGGATATTGTGAGGTATGAGATTAACAGTGTGAAACGCGTTTGCATTTATGTAGGCATTAGTTCTGTCTCTCATATTTCTTTATCACACTTCAGCAGGAAATTATACATAATATCCCCTAATATTACCAGCAAAGCGATAAAACTCTATCTTATTGGATATTTAGCACCCAAGCTTTCTGGCATATTTAGAGATCCTTAACTTTGCTAAATATGTTTTTTTTAATATGTAAGAACAGATAGTTTTATCAGGAGAAGCAAATCTGATTTTCTGAAAGGAAGTTTAAATGCAGGAATTTATACTTTTCCCTTCAGCCAATGTATGAAACTATTTGGAAACTGTTAGCTGTGTAAAATGACCAGGAGATGTTTATGTTGAGATTGTGAGCACCAAAAGAGTGTTACCTCTTAGGAGATAATTTTTTTCTTGTTTTCGAAATTGCTGCCAAAGACTCTGACCAAACATCTTGCTTTTCTTTCCTTATTGATGAAATTATCGACATATTGAAACAGTAGTTACATTTAAATTTGAAATGGATGGTTAAAACATTTTCCCCTTCTGAAATTTCAGACATAGGAGCAGTTTTGCTTAGTTATGCAAAGGCTGAAATATAGAGAACGGTTCTCTATAAATTAATCCTTTTGCTTGGGGGTGTTACACCGTGATCCACAGAAACACTTCCCTACATTGGGAGATCAGTAAAAACCCAACGACAAATTGGGGTTAGCCACTGAAGTAGTGCAGGGAGAGAATGGTGTCATGTTTTTCTCAGATTGCACAGAATACAAAATTAAGATCATCTGTGCCAAATAAATTACTGTCCAATACTTTGCTGATGTGTTACTTTAGAAAAACACAGTCAGAATTCCATACATTTCCAGCGCCTTGGGCAAAACCAAGGTCATACCCTTGCTTAAAGCCACTAACAATGTTCATAGAGGATTTCTTTTCAAACACTAAGAGTTTTCTTTCATGACAGATATAGACTACTTCAATGCATGCACCTGAAATGTCAGCAGGGTTGCTAGTTCATAAGTGTGTGTCCGTGTATGAAGGAGGGTGTAGGTGACGAGAGGGGTATAAATGACTGTTGTTGTTCCAACTAAGTGAATGCAACAATCATGCACACAGTACTTCCACAATTGTTTCACTTTTAAAATAAGGTCTTACAAGCGAAACTCTAAACAAGATGCACCCCAAAAGTTTATGATAACTTAATGACTCAGACAAATCTAAGCAAGATAAAAATGTTGTACAGTCTTTTCCAAAGGCTAAGTAATCATTATTACAGGTTTCTTTATTACAATATTTAGTGGCAAGTTAGTTGGTATGTATAAAAAGAAGAACATAATTTGTGTCATGTTAAATGTCACTATTTCATACAAGGCTGCAGAGAGCGTTGCTCCTATTAAAATCAGATATTCTTAGCCTACCACTAGCATCCTGGTCATCCAAAAAGGTCTAAATATCACTAATATTTTTTAAAAGAAAAACACAAAATGATTGCACATCCAAGAAATAAATGCCACTCTTCTAGAAAAAAGTATTTAGTTCATCCTCTGCAATCACTGGAAAGACCTACCTTTCTGAAAGTGAAAAGTAATACATCCTTTGGAAAAAGTCTGTAAACTATTTAGGGTTAGAATAAGCCACCAAAACAATTTTAAAGCTTACATACTGACCTGTATATAAACACATACATACTGTAGACATTAAGTATTTTAATTTAATTTGTTAGTTTTAGAGCTCAGGAAAAGCAAATCCAAACACCACTGGTCACAGCCAAATATCCTGCTACCAGCTAACAAACTTCTCGTATATGTCACAAATCAGCCAATTTGCAATTGCAGTTATGACAACACTGTTCCTCTTCTAGACCAGGACTGCCTGTCATTCTAAACGGGACTCCAGTGATATTTTTTGAAAGATACGGACTGTAAGATTTTTGCAAACTCATTTGAGATTAAAAAATCTTTCTCCTTTCTCTATCCAGCCATGCTGCATACAACGTAGCTCCACAGAAATGAAATGCTTTTTCATGACATCAGTTTCTTATGAATTCACCTGCACACGCCTCATCAAATCTGACAGCAGGACATAAGCATAGAATTCAGCGTAAAGAATAAAATTACTTAAAACATAGTAAGTAAGAGCACTTAAAACAAATGCACTCACAGATTTTGAGGCCAACCAGGATAAGCTTTTTAAGTATGAATTTGGCTGGGCCTGCATTTTGACCTGTCTTACTCCGTTTCAATGAGCTTCCCTAAATGCAAATGCTTACAAAGTGTCAGTTGTGAGAATACACGAACATAGTGGCCAAACATGTGTAAAGCACATGATGTTTAGGTTGCTTGTCTATTGCACCGTTCATGTAATTTAAAATCCTTGGTTTCTTTTTTTAGTTATCATGACAAACACTGGAGTTGGTGCTTACCTAAACTACTACACTAGCATAGGAAGTACTCACCATCTGGAGTGATTAGGCCCTTGGCCTCAATTATTACTAACTTTAAAAAGGCACTGTATTTATTTCTCCGTAAACTTCACACGTTTACACACAAACGCATGTGTGTATGTGTCAAGTATCTCATTCGTTCCTCTTGAATTTGACTGAAAGCTCGCTGGCATCAATTCACTGACTTGCAGTGATTTCAGTGGATAGTCTTGGTACTCAGGCTTGCTTGATTGTCAGAGCTTAAGAGATCATAACAATTTATTGACAGCTCTAGGAGGCAAGGAATTAAAATATAACTCCTAGTTAAGCATTAGTTGAAGCTGCTGCCACTGCAGGTATTCTGTTTCTCTTTTTTTAGTATAATGCTAATTGATACACTCACCCTGAATGAATAGGGCTGGAAGAAAGAGCCACATTGTCCAAGGTTTCAGGGCCCCAGCTTAAGCGATATGAATTCCTTTCAGCTTCTTTGGCCAGAGTTGTTACCTTGGTAAGCAAAAAACCCTCCTTTTTACTACAATAAAATCAATTAATCAAGCAAATAATAAGAAGATGTATTTTGCATAGTAGTACCTACAGCGTTAAAACTTTTTTCAAAAAGAAAACAAAGGAGTAATAATAGCATTAAGATATTAGAAACCCCTTATTGTAACGTTTTGTACTTGCTCAAAGTAATCATATGCTAGTGGTCCCAGTGAAATGAATGCTGTGATCTACCAAAGTGGCATTTCCTAAATCTTCTTTTTTAACTACAAGCATGCTTCAGGATAGTATCTTTGAGGACAATGGCCTTGAGTTCAATAGATCACCTGAATATTTAGGTATTATTATGTTATTAGCCCCTTCTTGTTGTGTTTTGTACTTGCTCAAAGTAATCATATGCTAGTGGTCCCAGTGAAATGAATGCTGTGATCTACCAAAGTGGCATTTCCTAAATCTTCTTTTTTAACTACAAGCATGCTTCAGGATAGTATCTTTGAGGACAATGGCCTTGAGTTCAATAGATCACCTGAATATTTAGCCCAATGGCTGTTAGTGTCATGCAAAAATCAGTTAAAATGGAGAACATTACAAAGACAGTCCCTGTACTATATTCACACAGCTTATCCCTTTACTTTGGAATAGAGTTTAATATTGCATAGCATAATATGCCATTAAATATCAGTGAAAATTAGAGAGATTTATATTAAAATGAATAAAGCAGCATACCCAACATGGTATCATTAGTACGATCTAAACTGTAATCTTTTTATATTTCCATATTTATCCAACTGATAAGTGAACTTAAGAGAATTTGCTTACCTGCTGGCTGGGGATTACAACCGTATCGTCAATCATGGCACTGTCCCTCAGGTAGGAGGCATGGCTCAATGTGTGGGACCTGTCTGAACTGAAGGATCGCAGGCTGGTAGGTTGGTAGGATGCCATAGCAATATATCAGCAGTACAGATGATGTTGTAAAGGTGTCATGATAGATCGAGTGGGAGAATGAAAAAAGCGTGCTATTAGCAATATGATGCAGCTTCCAGGGGGAGTAGATAATAGGCACGGGGGAAAAACAGAGCTTTACAAATCTGTGTTATGCTACCTTTCTGACCAAGGGCCACAAAGTCTTTTGCCTGACTTATTTGCTTCAAAATGCAGAACCTAGAGATTAATCTAGATGACAGTTTATTTCATACTCACAAATACTTTATACTTGGCTTTGTGGCATGACAATTTCCTTATAATAAAGAGCATGAATTTCTTTTAAGTAACTTCTCTTTGGAGAAGTTCTCTCTCCTGCTACATCACACAAGCAAACCGCTACAGAAAACCAGAATGCTAACATCTGAAGAAAAGCTGAAATTACTCTTTCTGAAGCTTTGTTATGATCTACTCTCTCCCCTTGAAACTGTAAGTAAGCAAGCTTGATATCGTCCCCTGGAAGGTACACACAGCAAGGTGAATTGTGGCCAGCCGCAAGCTCCCGTGTAAAACAAAATTCCTCCTCTGTATGCCAACAGCATCTTTAGAGAGGCAGTCCAAATGTGAGCACTGTTTTCCTTGTAAGTACGCACAGCTCTACAGAAAACTGGTTGCTGTAGCAATGAGAGATGCAAGGCAGTAAATAAGCTGCTTCCAAGCACTGGCTCAGAATGTAACTGCAGTATCCACTAGCAAAAAGCAAAAAAAGACAAATAAGATACCACAGAAGGACATATTGAGGTAAATGGGGTTTCTGCTACCAAATAGCACTAGTTTGGTCTTTTCAATATTTACTAGCAGCAGTATTACAATAGTGATTTTTAAAAAGAGATCAACCACCTTCAGATGTTGTACATGTACTCTGTGATGTTGTTCTGTACCTTGAGGAATATAATACGTGTAACTGAAGGAAGCAGTTTTATTTTCGTGGCTTACACGTCCATGAGTAGTACTCATCATGACTAACACACTGGATCAGAACAATAGGCCATTTATCTAGATACATAGATTTTTAAGGGATAATTCATTTTCAGCAGTTAGCAATAAAAGTCATGTGTACATTATGGACATGAGATTCAAGTGCTTTAAATGCAGATCTCATTGGAAATCATATTTTACCATCTGATTCAGACCAGTCAGCCTTTTTTAGCAATACCTACATTCACACAATGATTTTTTTGATCCATTTTTAGAAGCAAATGGTTATCTTCCTTTTATTAGAAATAGATGACATTGAAGAATAATCAATGATCATTGACTTCTACCAATGGCCTATTTAGCATACTAGATGGATTGTACAAAACTGAAAGCAAAGAGAAGTATTACACAAGTATCAGCCTTAGGGAAGTCTTGAGGAAAAAAACCCCCGACAATAAATAATCTCTCTTACATGTCATGAAATGTCTTTCACCCAGACAAGTGGAAGAGGCGAGACGTGTAAGGCTGATATTTAGTGTATTATTGGGATTATGCATTTCTGGAACAGAATTCTGATTCCATTAAAACAACCAACAAAATTTCAATAGGGACAGAAGTTCACCCTAGCTGTCTGCATATAACATTTCAGAAGAAAATTATGAAAAGGAATCTTGACGGAAGAGTCCTTTGGTTAAACATTTTAGTGTGAATTGCATAGGCAGAGTACACCTTGCTTGTTCCTAACAAGAGTACGTCAGTGAACACGTGTTCTTTGGTTGAAAAATAAGCCTCAGTAGCAGACCCCATTTGCCATCATTATCCTTTATTCATTTCAATGTTTGACACTTTCAGAACCGCTTCGCTGTGCCATGCAATGCTTGTAAGAGGTTCACCATCCAAGTTGTAGGTTCTGCTATTCAGCTAATGTCATGTCCTGGATAGACACTTAATGAAGGGAAGTATGTACTAGATTTGACCGGTTATCTGTATGGTGATTTTGTCCATGTTCCCCTGCAAGTACCCGGCGCTGCTACCACCACCACTACAAGCAGCCCAGTACATCTCCACTATGTAGTACATGTATGTAAGCTCCAGTAAATATCCAATACATGGAGGGTATGGATTTATCTATAGGCAAGGTATGCACAAACATGATTGAGGTCTGCGGTAAATTAGAAGTTTAAATTTCCTACTACACTTAATTTCAAAACTACCGTTCAGATGACACTGCCCCTCTTCTGTGTGCTGTACCAACTAAATGAAGAGCAAACCAGCAGTTAAGGTCTGCGCTTCTGAGACTTAGAAATAAAGGTACTGACTGAAACGATAGTCCAGTTACAGAAGTGTAGTGGCACCAAACAGAACTTATTGTTCATTACTGTGATAAGTCTTCAGGAATCCTGTAAAAAAATAAAACCCTAAATCACAGAGACAAAACTAATGTCTAAATACAGATTCTTTCCAAATCTGGTTGATAAATCTTAAGTCACAGGGGTTCTGGGGTCAATAGCACTCTACTCAGCCTCAGAGACTGAGCTGTGGAACCCAGGAATGCTACAAAGCTCCTGAACTGTGTCTTGCCCATGTTAGGTAATGCACAAGCATGTATCATCCACCTCTTCTAAGCCCTGAATAAAGCTCAGGCGGTATCCAGAAAATAAGAGCCGCATACTCTAGCCAAGTTCTAATCTGGATGACGGGGAGACCATGTTGCAGTACACATCCACTTGCCAGCCTAGACAGAGCTCTAGCAATCTCTAGCCCCGCTGAGTGTATCTGTTGTTGTGGGAAGTATATGTTGTTTCAGAAGCCGGGAAAAGAACCTGGTATCATTGAAAACTGTATAAATCAGCCTTGAAAATGTTGCTCTATTTAAAGACTGAAAGCCTTCCTCACACCTGTCACAGACCAGAAAGGTGGAAGGGACTTTCAATGAAATGGAGTCTTTTCAAATACTGGTGATCTGATATGGCCCGAATCAGTTCTGGTTCCCAATATCCAGAGGGAGAATCCAGCTAGCGTAGTCCATGCTCTTTATTTTTTTATTCTACCACTGTTTCTCCACACAGAGAAGGAAAATGGCTAGCCTTCCCAGCAGCACGGTGACAGAAGGACAGCTACCAGCTGTTGTGATCTAGTGCAACTTCCCTGATCCTTGCTAACATATCTGTACAGGAATCAGGGAAGTTTCTGTGGGACAGTGGCTATATCACACCGTGACCTTCCTAAACAGACAGTACCGTTGGATCGGTATTCACCACGGCATATCATACTCATTTGAGACTATAACTATCTCCAACAGCAGCGTCGTTCATTTGGTTCTCCAAATCAACTTTCTGGCGTACAGCAGGCCTTCAAAATGGATGAACAGAGACAGGTGCCATAAAAGAATATAGAGACAACATGTTTTCATGCTATGTAATACCTACCTGGGCATGGTGCTAATGAAAGCATATGAAAAAGAATGAAGGGGAGAGAGAAATAAAAGAAACAGGGAAGATGGTTACAAAAGAAAAAGATATGCTTTTAAATCAAACTGTTTAATGCGTAACATCACATGAGTCTAGACTGCTAATACCATTTTGCTTTACTGAATTTCTTGAAAAATCAAAGTCAGTATAACGCAATGAAAATCACACTAAAGCAAAAGCAAAATAATTTAAGCAGTCTCTGTGAAAATTCTTACAACCAGTAACCTGACAGTGACAGAAAATGAGACCATGGAGTTAGAAAGATGTACTTTTTTCTTTCATTCTTTCTCCCTCTATAATTTTGCTTCATTTCAATATAATCATGCTTGATACAGGTTGCGAAATAATTTTCATACAACACAAAATAAAACACATCAATTACACGCCAGTGAAAATCTACCGAAATCCACTGACAGTATTTAAAAGCTAAAATATTCTAAATGGGAGCAGAAACTGGCTTAACACTTGCCTGCACAATCATTTCTATACTACATCTTAAAATGAAAAAAAATAAAAACTTTGTTACCGTTGAAAGCACGTGATAAAAGGTTTTGATTTTTAAGCATTCTGATATAGTTCATAAACATCCTCTAAGACTTAAAAAGCCACACAGTCACTTTGTTTTCAGCGGATTCACTGGAGCTGTCTAAAAACCAACAAAGACTCCAAGCTCATAAGACCTGAATGATGAGGGATTTACACATGCTGGGAGGCAAACCGAACTGTTTCCTGACATCTTTTGTTCCAGGAGCAATTCATAGCCTACTGAAGTAAACAGAATGGATCCTACTGATTTCACTGAGCTTCGGAAATGCTGCCAGAATAACAATCGAGACTGGAAAATGAGGTAGGTTAAAAATTCCTTCTGTTGCCAAGATCTCAACTTCCCCCCGCCCTTGAGCAAACCCCAATTCTAAAGGCAGTAAGTCTGGAGACGTTACTGATTTTCACTAGACATTGTCATTTTCAAACAGGAATAGCCTATTCTGGCTGGGTAGCCTATTCTAAACTAGAACTGTGGGTGTTAATCTGCCAGTTTGAGTCTACGCTTATGCTCACTAGTAAAGGCTCTCATTTTGAAAAGGGAACACCGTATCTTTTGTAGACTATAGTGACATTCCCCCCTCTCAAAAAAAAGATTAAAGCTACAGGCATTATTATTCCAGAAATACATCTAGGCTTAAGTTCAACTTGTTAGAGCTAAGAAAATCAGTAAGTTTTCTAGACTGAACACACATTCTTTTTTCTAATTTATTTACAACGTAAATACTGTGCTGTGCCAGTAGAAGGAAAATGATTCTCTTTCCTGCTAATTCAGCCATGATGCAACCGAGAGCGGCAATGTGCTTGTTGACAGTATACTCACTGCCAATCCAATGCGGAATGACCAAGTCCATTGCTCCTTTCCTTATATCTATAGCCAGCAAGCTACTCTAAAAAGTCAGCTCCCCTAATGCTAAAATACCCTGTCCACCTATCCACCCATCCCCTGACTCGTGACAGGAGGAGATGGGGACGATTCATAAGCCCTTTCCATAGACAGCTGGACTCTTCTTCCTTTGCCTGACCACAAAGACAATACAGCAAGCTATGCCGTTTCAAGAACCAAGTAAGAATCACAAACAAATTCTTCACTAGGCTCTGAGTAAAGTATTAGTGCCAAATGTATTCATTTCTGGACTGGTCAGGAAATATCCCTCCTGACCACACCTCCCTCCTACAAAGCGGTGACTGCCACACTGACTTACCTAATAAAGAAACGATGACAAGTGCATCCCCTGTCTCCCTCGAGTTAAAGACCCCGAGAAAGGGATTTCAAACATTTATAACAAAATGTGTGCAGAATTATCGTAAGAAAAAATACGTGTCCGGGCAAATACCTGTCAGATCGTCCTCCTTCCAAGCTGTACCTGAGGTAGTTCATACCATCTAAGAACTGGCTGCTTGGTAAAGAGTCATCTCCTAGTTCTCTGAGGTCTTCTGGCCTAAGGTACTCTCCTCCATCTCCTGTCATTGTGTCATCACCTTTAAACCAATCACAGAAGGGACAGAGATAAGCACACACACAAGTTTGATGTCATTTACATGTTGGCATCTAACAGCTGGATGGCACAATTTTGTTGCACAATGGAAGGCATTTTCCACTCAGGAAACACTGCAAACCACAAGCAATTAATGTATTTAATGAAACTGGCACATCAAGCAAGATTTAAAAAACAAATAAAATTGACATCAGGGTGATTAATCAACTAGATTTAATCTAATTTTTGCTGTTGCACATACTGGTAAGGGGCAAATTTCTTCGCTACTCTCTAAGGCATGATCTCTCTGTTCCTTTATCCATCTTAGCTCGCTGGTCACAGCGATACTGTATCACAGCCTGACAGATAAATACAACCACTTATTTGACTGTAAGCTATGTGTTTTCAGCTGAAAAGGTGTTTTCTGTGGCCTTATGCCTGATAGTTGCAAATCCTAATTTAAACTCTCCATTGTCCAAACTCCACATCATATGAGGCTGCCTCACCCGTGTTCCAACATCCTTGTGTGATCAGCAAAAAAATTCTTATTTCTAAAACACGGCAATATCCAGAAACTGGAAATAAGCTCACATGCATAGATGGTAATGATCATTAATCAGAAAAGTACTTCATAATGAATCGAAGCCTAAATGATCATTGATTATCTGACATAGTAACCTTTTTGCATATACTCTGAATAACAGGGTTTTGGTTTTTTTTTTTAGGTCCAAAATTATTTTCCCCAGGAAATTCTGTCTATATGAAGTCACAGTTTGCTTTTCCCCAGCAGACTAACAAAACAGATTACATTGCCAAGCAACATGTAGATGTTTCTTTTCATTCCCATTTGCAACACGGTTTGTCTCCACAGCTTCTGCCTGGAGATTTCAGTCACTTTCCCAATGGTTAATTACTACTGCATGAGCCTGCCAGAGGCTTGCTGCGGCACACCGAACCGCACAACGTGACCCTAGGCCACCGATATCTTCAAACTTTCTCATTTTCTAAGCGGCACGGGCAAAAGTCAAGCACCTGGAGCTCAGTTACATGAAGGAGACTGCAACTGTTATACAGGAAGAGTCTTCAGGGGCTACACATTCCAGCTGCAGTAATTCACCCCGATATGCGGAGAAACACGAAGGTTTGTAAAGGTTAGGTAAGTGGCATCCATGCTGTTTCAAACAGAATCCATTTGGGCATCAGGGCAGTTGCCACTTGTGTGATTTAAAGTCTTAATAAAGCAAAATTGCAAAAAACAACTATTGTTAGTGCCATTATTTCTGGTAGAGCATCTTCCCCCCACCCCCCCGCAAAATGTTATTGGTGTTACAAGCTATAGGAGTGGTGCTCCCTACTAAGGGAAGAAAACTTGGTATTTGTTTTCATGAAACAAATCAAGCTAGTCTTTCTAGCTTGATGTTTCAGCTAATAAATAAATAATTTATAATTTGTCATCTAAAACTAAGTAACTTTTGGGGGTTTTAAGATTTTTTGTATACACAAATATTATATGCAAAAATGAGGCCTAAATCTTCTCAGTATAACAACAAAAGCTCTTGAAAATTCCATCTGCCCACATTAAGAGGGAGAAACTGGGCACAGTTTCACAGAAAACAATAAAATGCATTTAATCATTGCATGTTTCCTGTCTTCTGACAGATGATGCCTCCTGTTTCCTGGGAATGTCACATTATAAAGCACAGGGCTTAGTGAAAATTTGGAAGATATTAAGGCAATGCTGTTAATCAAACAGTAAAAGGAATATGAAGTTATATTTCAAATAAACTACATACTTATAATCAGGCCAGACATTCCATCTATAATAGAAACAAAGGCAAAATCTTCACCACTTTCATCACACCCACATCCTTTCAAAAAAAAAAAAAATCCAAACTCTACTCTTATTTCAGCTTTGGCCTCTCATCTAAGAGTTGTCAATAATAGGTCTAAGTAACACTAGCTGTTTTATGTGATGTGAACATCTGCAAACAGTAATAAGACTATCCATGAATATTTCACAATGTCTTCAGAACATTTATCTGTTGGTAACACAGCTTCCTCGCTAGCATACTAGTCTTGAGTGAGTGAACTAGAAGTTAAAGTCACTCCCCGCCAACCCCTTGTGCCCTTCCATCTTTCCTTAATGAGATGAACTCCCAAAGCAAGTTGCGCCTCCTAGTATATGAAGGGGGAAAAAAAATGTATTTAAGTCTAAATGATTGTGTAGCAACATAACATTTCATACAGATGTGGTTACCTGAGTGTCTTAATTCCTGCTTTGCAGGGCAGCTGCACATACGCAAAAGGAATTATTCTGAGTCTGTGTAACAAGCACTCATTCATCCTGCCAGCAATATTGTGTTGTCACTAAAAGATCTAACACGGCTATATTCCTGAGTCTCAGTCAATTCAAACGTACCCAGGCATGTTATCTGCTGAGAAGAAATTACATATTCAGCTGACCATGAGCTTCTTTACACGGCAAATCTTACCAGATGGTAGTTTCGTGGCGGTACAAGAAATTATCCTTTTCAATCATGCTAGAAACGATTCATCTGCCATCACGTTCCCCATCAAATTAATGACAGTAACGTTTTCACCACTTACTAAGCAGTTCGTGACAAATATAGCCCTTGACGTTGATGCTCCATGATTTGCAGTGGCCATCTATGAACTTACAGGTGGATTTCGATGAGTTACCCGCTTAGTGATTTATCTTCTGTTTACTTGAAAGAACACCTTCCTTTCTTCATGATACCAACAGACCTTCAGAGGTTTACTTGACAGGGGAAAACACACGACAAAACATTGGGCGACCTCGCACTGTGCCCCAAATAAAGCATTCCTGTTCACCTTGGCCTCATCACTGCTACTGCCCATCTCTCAAATATCTCTAAAAATTTTGTCCAAATCTGCATTTCTGAACAACATCATCTTCTTTAGGGCAGGTTTGAAAAGAAATAAAATGCACTAGAAGGAAGTATCAAGTACCTGGACTCTTAAAAGAAACACTGAGGTTTTACTGCTAAGGACGCTGGAACAAGAAGTTAAAAAAAAAAAAAAAAAAAAAATTAAATCCCCAAACGTAGGAATTTATTTAAACAAAAAGTGGCCAATAGCTGAGTCCCTGCACCTGCTGCTGCTATTATTTTTTCTTTGCGAAGTGCAAATAAGTCCCAGTATGATGGGTAGCTTTTCCAGAGCATAACACACAAAGCATTACGGTCCCACTGCACTCTCAGCAATGATCTGGTTAGTCCATTAATCCATTTCCAGTGGCCAAACTAATGCCCTGGAACAAGATGCAAGACCCCCCAAAAGCATACATTTTGTACAGGTCTGCAACACTTGGGGTTCCTTCTTTTCTCCTCAGAAGGGGGATAGGAAAAAAAAAAATCAAAGGAGAGAGATGACTTGAAGCAAGAAGATGGATACAAAGGGTGGGACTGGCAAGGGCCAGGTTGCAGGGAGAAGGGATCCCAGAGACAGCGTAAGTTTAGCAGGTTCCAGGCCTGTTACTAGGAAAAAATGAGGAGATATGGACCTGCTAAACAAGGTGCTATGCATTTCTATGAGGTGTTGGCCACCTACAAAAACTATTAAATCAAGTGACCTCTTCTGCAAAACTGGAGACCCAGCACTTTGCAGGATTGGATCCAAAAGAGAGAAAGAAAGGATGAAAATGGGATGGAGAGGTGAAAAAGAGAGACAGTAAACCTAAGAATCAGAATGGGAAAATTAAATAAACTTTAGGATTTAAATACTATGCTTAAGGCAAGGAAGGCCTCGTACAGAAACTCGTAACGGGCAAGTGAAAACTGCATTGATGGTTGTTAGAAACACTTTACACAAAGTTTTAAATCTTTGTCACAACCAAGCCAACCAAAGGCATATCTATTTTAAGCAGCAAAGAGCAGCACAGAGATTCTTGGGCTGGTGAATCCATACATACCAGACTGCAGAGCTGTGCAAACACACCGGTCCAGAAGCAGTAGAGCTACGGTGATTCAGTGTTGTACCTGAGCAAACAAGCTCTCTCGCAGCAGGGACTATTAAGCCAGCAGCAGTGCCGTGCAGCTGACCTGAGCAGGCATTCCCGCACAATTCTGCACCGTGATGGGCAACACAGGTGGCACTAGCTGGGGAACTTTTCCACCCTGCTGTTTTGTGCTGTAGAGGCACTCCGGAAAAACCGAACAGCTAGTTCTCACTGACTCAGAGGACCCTGAACCTTTCAAGACACCGCTGCCACAGAAACGGAATTAAAATAGCAGCACTGGCATCATTCTGCGGAGCTTCACGGGGCTCTGACGGAGCAGGAAGCACGCAGTTTAGCCTACGAGGAGCAGTGGGCGCTGCACATATCCAGTGATGATGCATTAGGTAGGCAAAAAACAGACAAAGCATGAATGGGAACCTTCCCTGCGATCTTTTAAAATGCAGCTGCCTGGAGTTTTTTCTATTTGCCTAGACTGGGGAGCGGGAGTAAACTCCATTGCCAGTCACTGTCAAGGCCACACAGAACTGTTTTCAAAGTCTGCGTTAAAACAGAGCCAACCAACCAACTCGCAAAAATCCACAACTAATTCACTTTTTGCTCAAGTCAGCAATATTCGTATGATGACTCTTACCGGTCTGCTCCTCTTTTTTTTTTTTTTACATTTTATGCTGTCCACTTATTGTTTCTGTGTATCATGAACCCATAATATCCAAATATAGCAATGGATCTCGATTGCTACTTTCTAAGATACCTGTTAGCAGGAAGGGAAGCACCTGGGCAGATCTGACTGGCCGCTCAGACAGTAGATATTTGCCTTACTCTGAGTAGTACAGGGAAAATGAAAAGCTAATTTTGCTGATGATGATTTCACGTGTTTGAACACAGGTTTTGAGCGTTATAAATCATTGAACAGACTACTAAGAGAAACAGGCCGCATGCTGAGACCACATATCTGCTCCTTCAGTGACAGTTCGGCTGAGCACACAGGATTTTACCAAACCATC